GTGAAGGTGGGGGGAGGCGGTGGAGAGGACGACGGGGGGTGAGAGGCAGCGACAGTGTACGAATGAGTGAGAGAGAGAGAGAGAGAGAGAGAGAGAGAGAGAGAGAGAGAGAGAGAGAGAGAAAGAGAAAGAGAGAGAGAGAAAGAGAGAGAGAGTACGGACCGGGAGAGAGAGAGCAGACGGGAAGGTCGTCATGAGTACTGCCGTTGTCGTCTCGGAGACGATTTCCGAGCGCCACGTGGATATCGTCCACTTGCGCGAGATGTGCGGCAGGGCACACAACCGTCAGATGGAGTTCTGCAAGGAGGTGGCTGGTCACACAGTCAGGTACTACGAAGTGCGCGTGGACGGGATGCACGCGATGGACATTACGGCGGGGATGGGATGCGATGCTGCCAGTCGCCTGACTCACGTGCTTCTTTTCGCCACGAAGTGGAACCCCATCATTCTGGACAAATGGGATGGCAAATATCGTGATGTCGTTGGTGACATCATCAGATACCTCATCAACGCCATGGCGGAGGAGTTCGCGGAGCGGCTGGATGACTCCCCCTTCTACCAGTGCGAACTCGACCCGCCGTTGGAGGGGAGGGGCTATCTTCACGGTCCTGTGCAGAGCTGGATGCCGGAGGAGGACCTGCATGTTCGGAAGTGGTGATGTGACCTTTTTCATGTCATCCGCTGTGGAAGGATATTGTCAACCACCGAGGGCAGGGGAGAGAGAGAGAGAGAGAGAGAGAGAGAGAGAGAGAGAGAGAGAGAGAGAGAGAGAGAGAGAGAGAGGCAGTGGCAGAGAGGTAGTGCTGGTCGTCGTGTCGCTTTGCCATCGCCGGCGTCGTACATAGAAACTGGGCAAAGATGGAAGTCGATAGGCATGAGGTCTCATTTGCAGTGCTCCATGTGTATGCCCTTAACATTTGGATGGCGGGAGTCTTATTCATTTCCTATTTTTGGTTGTTTCCTTTTCTTTCTTCCTTTCGCACTGTTCATGGGTTTTTTTTTTTCGCGCTCCCTGCTTTCGTTTTTTTCATGGATGTATGTGCGGAAACGATGATCATATGTGTGTGTGCACATGTACCTTTATGGTCGATTGATCGATTCACATATCAGTTGCAATGCTTCGCCGATCGCCTGACTGACGTGCGTGATTGATTGCTTGATCGAGTGATCCATTTTGCCCTACGAACCAAAGGCGACCCTGACCACAGCAATAAATGGATCAATCAATCAATCATTCGATCAGTCGGTCTATCGATCGATCAATCAATCAATCAATCAATCAATCAATCAATCAATCAATCAACCAATCAATCCACCAATCAATGAATAGTTATCAAAAACAGAAATACAAAACGACAATAACGAAGCACGGGTGATGAAGTGTTGCGACATGCATGTGCAATCTTGTACATCTCTCTATTTTCAAAACATGGAGTTGTGGTTGTTTTGTTTGCCGGACATTTTCTTTGGAGTTTCGTTTGTCGTTGGTCGGTAATGTATGCTTCTCGTTTCACGCAACTTTCGCAGGTTCATGCATGCGCTTCAAACGACGATCATGTGTGTGTGTGTGTGTGTGTGTGTGTGTGTGTGTGTAGCTTTGTAACAAACTAATTGATTGCTTTATCGAAGCAAAGGATCAATCAATCGATCAATCAATCGATCAATCAATCAATCAATCAATTGATCAATCGATCCATCGATCCATCGATCGATCAATCAATCAATCAATCATTGACAAAATCAATCAATCAATCAAACAATCAATCAATCAATCAAACAATCAACCAATCTATGAACAATTTTGAAACAGAGAAATAGAAGACGACCATAACGAAGGGCCTGTGATGAATTGTTGCCAAATGCATGTGCAATGGTGTACTTCTGTCTTTTTCAAAACATGGAGTTATAGTTGTCTTGTTTGGCTTTTTTTTTTTTTTTTTTTTTTTTTTTTTTTTTTTTTTTTTTTTTTTTTTTTTTTTT